GTTAGTATTTTGATTATTGCATTACTATCTTGCTTAATTCAAATGTGACATCTACAAATGTCTACTGTTCTGTAAATATCATTTTTTTAGCTGTAATGAATTTAGAAGGAATATATTTTTTTCGGATGTGTACTGAATACTGAATGATGTGAAAAACCAAATAAAATCTTGAACAAAATTTTAATAAGGCAGACAATAATGGGACTCATTGTTATTGGACAAATTCGGACAGAATGTGTGCTGTTGTGTGCTGAATATGTCGTTTATATAATATGAGGTTTTCTTTGGTTAGTCTTGAAAAGAACATCACAGCAATCAAGCCAGCTAAAGATAAAAGCATCTATTAGGTTTTTCATACCAGCCTGTCAGAAAAATGGCTGTACTTGGAATGAGGATAAAAGAAAGTGAATAGATTGAGGCTCTATGTTTTGTTCACAGGATTCTAAGCTAATGCACAAGGTCTTTGCTCCAGTATTTAAATGTTGTCTCGTCTATGTTCAGTTGTAGGCAATTCTGTTACATCCATAATTTGATACAATCGCTGTACTGAACTACCTATAAATAGGACTGATATATCACTGATTCAGAAATCTACAGCTACATTTTGTCTGCACAGATGGTAGTTACATGAGAAGTTTGATACTGATTTTTTAATTTTGACATTTGATGAGTTTATTTTCTTTAATAATCTATAGAGCTGTTGCACATAGCCATCGGGGGGCACTCGCACAGATACACCACCTAAGTAACTAACTAAAATAATACGTTTTTCATTGATTTTGTTTCTAAATGAGATTTTGAATACTACACTACTAATACATTTATAAGGTTTGTATTGTCTTTTCAGCACTAGAGAAAAGGACAAGTAGTAAGCAGGGGGTAATATGTAATCACAAACACCTCTATGGAATACATTTTTCCACTATAAAAAGAACCAATGTGAAACACAAGTAAAGCATGTGCATAACTGCATGCTTACGTTGGTTTGGATTCTTAGGGTTTGTGTGTTTTTGAGTTTGAGTTGGGTCTGACTGCTCCAACCAAATTAAAGGTGATGGGCCACTATGAATTAATTAGGGCATCATGACTGATGGAGCTCCAGTCTGTTCAGTCTAGGTACTCAGTCTGAGTGACGGGAGATAAATCATACAGCGTTGAAGGTCTAAAGATGCCACTTTGGACTTGAATTGGAGTTGTCACTATCACAGGTTTGCCATGAGCAACAACTACTTCAAAAGCGCAGAGAGCCATAGCTCAGCTATAGGTTATTCCTGATGGTTCACTTGCCTCCAACTCTCTCTTTACAGTTTTTTGGCCCTCCCCACTTCTTATCGCAATTTTCATTCTTCTGCCTGTATTTTGTCTATTCCATGCAAATTACAGAATAATAGCAAGTTTGACTGTTTTGATGGATCTCTGTTGGTGCTTGGCACAAGAACGCACAAGATGGTTGTTGCAGAATTTCAGCCGCTAATGATGTAATCTAGATACACGTCTTTCTGACTGTCAAAAATAAGAACCTGTGTATGTGGTGGAAGATCTATCATACACAACACATCTGTTTGACATTTTAAGGTATGTTTTTAGTTTTGCGGGGCGTTCGCCATCATTCACAAGTTGAAAAGTTAAGCTGATCAGGCAAACTTCACACATGTAACAAGCCTCTGGTGTTTGCTGGTCGCTGGCTGTGTGTGAGCAATCGCTAGTAGCTAACATGCTCACAAAACAGCAAACGTTAGATAAAAGGTTAGCAAGTTGACATTTGCTCACATAAATACAGTAACTTGGGGTACTCTGAAGATTAAAGGAGGAGGTTATAACAATGACTTTGAAACTAGTTTTGATTTCAGCTTTTAAGGGGTAGAATATATAT